CTGTAAATGAGCAAACGCCTGAACAACTGGCTAGACAAGGTTTCCCCACGGTCTCACACCGCCCAAATGCACCCGAAGCCACCAACCACTGACAAGCTGTGCAATGCCGCCACTGTTAATCCGCGAAACTGAAATCCCATCAACCAACAAAAATACAAAAAAACAAAAATTGAATTCTTTGACCGCCCAATTTCCCGGCTGTCCTATATGCTTTTAGCTCAAAATAAAGTAACTCTTCTTCTCCTTTTCTATTTGACTAAATGCCACAAGGAAATGTTGAAGCTTATGCGAAATAAAGTGGGTTGAATTAATTTTTTTTTTCTCCCTTCGTAATGTCTACAGAGGATGTAGTTCCTAAGACGTTCCACGCTTTGGTGGAAAGAGCCGAACGGAAATTCGCCCGGGTTCGTGATATTCCACTGCATCCGTACGGTGGCAGTGGCCTGGAAAATGGCCACTTCTTCCACAAAGTGTTTAAGGCTTACATGCGGCTCTGGAAGTACCAGCAGAGGAACCGGGATAAATTGGTGGAGTCGGGGCTTCGCCGTTGGGAAATTGGGGAGATCTCATCTCGGATTGGCCAGCTCTACTTCAGCCAGTACCTGAGGACAAGCGAGGCTCGGTTCCTCTTCGAATCGTACATATTTTATGAGGCCATTTTTAACAGGAAATATTTCGAGGGTTCGAGCAGGGATCGTGGGGTTAGGTTCAAGGAGTTGAGATTTTACGCGAGGTTTTTGATGGTTTCTTTGATCTTGAACCATAAAGAAATGGTGAAGTTGCTTGTGGAAAAGTTTACAGAACTTGTTGAAGACAGTAAAGCCAATTTTCGGGTATGAATTACTCTTTTCTATCACAAGTATGGTAAAGTTTTCAGCTATAAATTGAAGTAAATTTGTGATTTGGATATTGGTATACTTGTGTGCAAATAGAAAGACTAGAGAAATAATCAGTTGACTTAAAAATGCCTTTATTATGTAAGTTATATTCAATGATTAGCTGAATTCTTTGCTTTCAAATCTTGATATCCCCTTGTTTTCAATTGGGAAAAAAGGGAACTTCCGGGTTTGATTGCAAATGAAAGCACATGAAGTTACTCAAATGCTCTTAGTTAGAACGCCATAGTTCGCAAGTGAAGTGGCTTGATGATAATTATGAAATCTGTTCTATACGATTCACCAGCTCAATAGGTGCTGAAAGTTAGAAAGTGATACCTAGGTAAATTCTATATTGGCATAGCTATTCATTTAATCTACTCTAATTTCCTGTGTCATGAATTGTATTACATTATTAATTTGTCATTTACTCTTCATCATGACTTTCATTTTGTCACTTTGCCCTTTTACATAAACAATGGGATTTTTTCTTCTAAAGAAATATGCATCTAATATAAATTTATAAAAGAATCATCTATTGGCTGAAAATGATACATCACAGA